TGTGAACACATACAACGATGTATCTTTTTCAATTATATTTATGCTGGTTGTGTTTACTTTGATCACTATTGTAATTGTTGTTATGATACTATACATGAAGTCCTCCACCCCCGGACGTTTCCGCCATCCTTGGTTTTGGGGTGTGACAGTTGTTTTCATTGTATATGTATATTATTTCACTCTCGTATTTAGGAATCTTAATATTCCATAACATACAACTGAAAGTGTTGTTCATACAATTTAGGAACCAGAAGGTGTTTTCTAGGTTCAAGAATATACAAATTCTATATGATATACACATTATGTTAGAATTTTACATTGTAATTGTGCTTTTAATTTAATGATTCTTTAAGAATGTTTTATGTTGGATGGTTTTGGTTGTTATTTGTAAATTTTTTTTTGTTAAAGATTAAACTCAATGATATGACACATAATTGTTCTTTTTTTAGTATCTTGATTACAACTTCAGTTATATTTGTTGACATATCATCAAACATTTATAATCTTTCCAATAGAAGTATTGAACCATTTCCTAACCATTATTTATGTTTTATTACAGAATTTTGATAATCGTAGCTACAAGATATATCCAGTTTGTAGATTATGGGATACAAAAGTCCATATTCTTTCTACTGCGATGAAATTCGAGGCATGAAACTTTGATAATTGGCATCGAAAGACAACTGATTCATTCCTTAAGAGTATTATGCAACAAGTATATTATTCTGTTAGAATATTCAACAAAGAATGTTATATTCTGGTAGAATAATCTACAAAAGCATGTATTCTATGTATTATGTCCTATTCTATGTATTTTACCAGAATATATAAAGTGATAGTTAAACATGTTTTTAACCATTATTAGTTTTTGTTGTATTTGTGATAGGAATGGATGAAGGAATGCATTGAAGACCTCATAGGAATAACTTGAAGAATGAATAAAGCTTGATCATACTCAAAACTTGTTGAAAACTCTTTTAAAGCTTTTATAAACTTCTTTTATATCAAATCATATTCGTTTATCTATTTACGTATAAGTATCCTTTAACAGACTTAGGACTATTGCTAGATACCTTGACACTTGTTCCTTGTTTGGTTGTGAGATTGGGGTAGGATCATTAGTCCGAATGTCGGTTAAATCATAGTTATATTTAATAAATACATATACGAGTTATTTTTATTATATAAATAAAATACACATATTCCAACTTCAAGAAATAAACTTTTGAAGGTAAATAATGTAGTTTATTTGACATATGTGAATCTTATTCATATATAAAAGGTTCCTAATAATATTTTCACTAAGCAATAAAGAAAATAATTATTAAGGAATTATACACTATTGATGTATGACTTCCTTTTTAAAACGTTTAAAATTTAACACAATATACCAATTCAACTTTATTAACAACTATAATAGTTATAAATTATTTTACATGTTAAAACATAATTGTGAAATATTTGTTGAAGTTTTCAAATATAAAATCGAGATACAAACCAGTAATATCATGTAAAGCCTTAGTGATAATAAATGATGAACTAAACCTTACTAGATATGGTTTACTTACTAATCAATAAAAATTGTCTTCCTTTATCATTTTAGGTTGGATTATAACTTGAAAATTATCACTTTTACTTTGAATACAAACACCAATTAATAATTAGATAAAAACATCTTGTAAAATTTAGTATGAAAATGTTCCATCTTTATCTTACTTAATGTTTTGTGAATTTGTAACCTATGTTGGAGTAAATATTCTAAACCCAAAATCTACTAATTAAACATGTGTGAAATACTCTAAATGTTGCTTATATTATTTATACAAACCTATTAAAAATAAGTTCTCTTATTCCTATAAAATTGAGTTAACATAAAGCAATATAACCATAATTTATATAACACTAATAAATTAACTTTAAAATTATGAAAGATACAAACTGTTAAATCAAAATTTCTCCGGTTGAAAAAATGTAAATATGAAAAATCTGAAGAAAAAAAAAAAACAAAATCACGATTTTCAAAGGTATGTTTATTTTGTATGTCATTATATTCTATAAAAGTTATAACGTGATGAATTTAGTCTTTTTTATATGAAAATAAGAAAAATCAAAATAAAATGAGCGAACTCAACATTTATATAATGCTTAATATCTATAATAAAATTATATTTTCATAGTATAACTTTTATAAATGTACAGCAGCACGATGAAACAAATTATTCAAAAACATTTGAGTGTCTCCGAGCGTCTCATGCTCAGGATTTTCCTACCAACTATTCCCGTTGATGGTCTCAGCCAACATATGCCTTTTGTGGAATATCGTATTATTCTTCGATACTTTCTGATGATTCATCTATTCCCGATTGATGATATATGCTCAATTTACCACAAGACATGTTTGGACACCTTTGGAGAACATGCGGTTCGTTGTAGAGAGTTCATTGGCTTCAAATACCTATATGATGTGGTTAGGGATGTTCTCTTTAATGTTTGTCGGTGTGCTGGTATTTTTGTGAAGAAAGAAACTCCCATGAACTTTTTGACGAACCCCTTGGATGAAACATTAACATTCAGACCAACTGACATTTTGGTCTATAGATGGGTAGAAGAGAAGCACACTTGTGTAGAGCTTACTAGGGTCTCTCCTCTCGTTGGTTTAGGGAGTGAGGATTTCACAGCGGGATATGTTGCTTTGAATGCCGTTGAGTGCAAAGTAACAAAACACGAGAATACATGCATTGAAAATTAGCATGTGTTTATACTTTATACCTTTCGTATTTGATACCTTTGGTTTTCTCGTGCCAGAGGCAATGAAGCTCCTCAATAGAGTCCAACGGGTCATGCATACTAATTTTATATATCCTAGATCCACAGATGTTGTTTTCAAAAGAATTAGTTTTGCCATCCAGAATTGGCTAGCGGCTAGAGCTGTTAATGAAACAAATTTTGACCATGGTTCGCTCCAAACCCATAAGAATTTTATTGGTTTTGATTTTAATTTTCGATTCGATTACTCGTTTACGACCGATACGTATTTACCCTTTTATTAAATGGGTTAGGTATGGATCATTATCGATTCACTCCATTTATAACCCGCCCCATTTAGTTTTATATATATATATATATATATCATGGTTGTAGAAATCGGGATTAATCGACGATGAATCGTGGATTAATCGCTTGGCGTTCTCCAACTGTCGAGGATTAAGGCATTAATCGGAAATTTAGGATTAATCGGGTTTAGCGGGATTAATCGGTCAATAAAAATAAAAAAAAGTCAAAAAAGTCGAAAAAAAAACTAAAAAAAATGTTAAAAAAATTCAAAAAACCAACTTTCTTTTTTTACTCAAAAATTTTCAAACTTTCAAAATTTTAAATATTATACCAAAATGTTCGTATTTTCGTATTTCCAAATTACAATTTTTCTTATTTTTTAATTTTGAAGTACTTGTTTTTCTTAAGATATATTAATATTTAAATAACTTTAATATTTTATTAATAATCTATGGTCCCCGATTAATTTTCGATTAATCCCCGCCAAGACCGATATATTAATATTTAAAATAACCTTAACACCAGTCCACCGTCGAGCTACCGTCAAACTAGTTTTACAACCTTGATATATATATATATATATATATATATATATATATATATATATATATATATATATATATATATATATATATATATATATATATATATATATATATATATAACACCAAAGTATGCCATACTATATCTAAATAAAATTCTTAATATATTGGATTTTGAGTTTTAAGTAATGTATATATTGTTTAAGTAGACATTTATCTTTTTTGATAAATATTATCTTATGGCAGACTCAAAATTATGAAATTGCAATATTGTAAAAGGATCGGGTTAATGAGTCGGGTATTCGTTGATTTGATGAATACGGGTATTGATTTGATTAATCAAAGCCATGAGGGTTATTGGAGTGGGGCGGGTCAGGTTTTTAAAAGTTTTAAAGGGTTTGGATTGAAGGTGATTCGCTCCGAACCCACTGAAATTATAGGACTACTAGCTGCTCAGCTTGTTATCTGTTTGTATTCCGTTGATATGTATTGGCTTTTTATTTTAAAATGAAAAATAAAATTACATTTAAAATATGTTTATGATTTTAGGTAAGGATGAAAATTTGGACCGGGAACCGGTTGAAACGGGAACCGGATAGTACCGTTCGGTTCCGGACCGAGACAATATTCTTGTGGATTTTTGGAACTGGGAAGTAGTAGAAACTGGAACCGATAGAACCAGCAAAAATCGCAACTGTTGGTTACTGTTTCTCGAGGACGAGTTCCAATATTGAAGACACAGCAAGAACCAGTTGGAACCGGAACTGGCGGTTCGATTTGGTTCTTAATTTCGGTCAACTTCGGTTTCCAGGCTGGATCCAGTTCAGACGGGTTCCAGTCGGGTCGGTTCCTTTTCATCCCTATTTTTAGGGTTTATTTTGGTTATTGATGATTTTGAAAAACTGGAGCAAACAAATGAATAATTTGTTCGTTTGTTCCCTTAAAAAAAGAAACATAAGAAGTTTAAAATTTCATAAATCTAAATCAAACAAGTATAGAAGCACAAAATATAGAAACATAAAACAAAAAATGGACCAGTTCAAACTCTTCAAAATTAAAATTAAATGTCCATCAACTACTAGGTCGTAAACATATTATCACTTGCATATTATCACTTGCATTCAAAACAAAATTGACTATTTTGTAAAGGCTTTAAAATTTTATATTGTCAATCATAACATCATGAACATGTGAGACACACCACCATACAAATCTAAACTTTTTAATCTTCGGATTATCTTTACAATAATAAGACCAAAATAAGGAAAACCCGGTTGGTCAAAAGTCAAACACCATAGTCCATAGTGACCAAAATAAGGACAACTTTACGATTGTACTGTACAACCCATTAATGCACAAATCTAGGTCCTTTCATCTTCAACTTCTTTGGAAGAAAGTGGAGGTTCATATCTTGTAAAAACCCTAAAAGCCGAAATCAAAGAAAGCAGAAAGAAACAAAGCAAAGCAATAAGATGAAGAGCCAAAATGAGATTTAATCTCCCACAAAACCGCCCATACGAAGAACATGCTTCACTCCATGTCACCTTTGGGTTGCCATTGTAGGCCAAATACACTATCTCCCCAAAGCTACCACCGCTTGCAACCATCAAATATGCCACCACCTATATCATCATCGTGTCAGAAAAATCTATAAAATATTTAAAAATTTTCCCTATTATTTTACGAAGAATATGAATGTTTCTATTAGGGGTCAAAATGGGTAAAACTTTAAATCAATTAAAACTTGGTTGGTAGACTGTTATCTTCTTCTTCTTCTTCCTTTCTTTTTTCTTTTTTTCTTTTTTCATACTAAAGATTACTTTACCACGTTTTTAATAAAACAGTAAACTAGAATGTTGTAGACACCTAAACGTAAAGTCATAAACAATTAATATGTTTTAAATTAGATAACTTTTTTTTTTTTTTTTTTTTTTTTTTTTAATTTGGCTGAATATACCTTTTATGAATAAAATATATTGTTCTAGAACTTCTCTTATCCTTCTATTGGTGATATTTTTTTAAGGATTTACTGTTAAATGAAATCGTAACCACTTGGACAAAGTCAATTGAATAACTTAAAGTATGAATAAAAGACTAAAACTAGATATAACCTGATCGCAAACAAAAAATATCCAAGCTTTGTTCATCAAGTTCTTAACCCATGAAGAAATAACAGCAACCAGAGCATACCCAGCAGAAATTGCACTAATACTAACCAAGAATCTGTCAAAAAACACAGAATCTCATAAAATAAACACAACATTTCAAGAATTATTGATGGGTGTCATTTGAAACATGTCAAAGAGATGGATAATTACTTCAGACCCTTGAGATTACTGAACTCTATATTGCCATACATTTCGTTATTTTGATGATTGGTCAAAGTCAACCACGTAGAACCAAGACTTAGAGGAACCACAATCAACCTTAAAGAGGAATCAATAACTTTAAGGGTATTCACATTTTCACCAAGAATCATCATTTTGAAACCAAGAAAACCCCACTTCAAATTCGCAACTAGAAACTGAGAATATAATCAATATTCTGACTTTTCACTTCAAGAAAATGAAATTTAACCAGTACAAAAAACCGCTTTCTTTTGGGATGAAATTGTTTGCAAGAACAACTTGCGAATGAATATAAAAAATGGGAAATTTAGGGTTTTCTTTAGACTAAAGAATCGTGATTTGAGTTGGTTAAAAGTGCAAGAAAAAAATTAAGCTTTCTTGTTGTGACCTTTGCGAATACGAACCAAAACGGGTGCAAGAAAGAAGGTTTGTTATATGAATCTGGTTAGAAGAACAATGGATGAATAAGTCTATAGAATTGGGGAATTTGTAAGGTTTCTTTAGTGCCAAAAATCATGATTTGAAGTTGGTAAAAAGTGCATGAAATCGATAATGGATTCCAAATGGCAGAAAGGCCCTTTCACGGAGCAATCACATCCACTCAACTCCATTTTGGGTGCTCTACTAGCACGAATATGTGTATAAACAATCATTAGATTATAGTGCACAACCAATCGCTTCATATTTGTGATTCCTTATTTTCAATTGTTTTTATATTTTTTTCATTGTATTCCCTTTAAACTAGATATAAGTTACAAAACAAACCCTTATACTTTTTATTCTTTTTAATTTCAACAAGAAATACACATATAAAAATAAATACTAAAAATCTTTAAAAATATATATTAATAATTTTTTATTTTTGTTGTCACTGTAAATACAAATTCATTTTCAATAAAGTTTATCTTTCACTAAAAGTTAATGATATATTTTATTATTTTAACTTACATTTTTAATAACCAGCCAATTTATAATTTTTCCAACTCGCTAAACTATACATGTTTTTTCGAACTAAAAATTAACACAAGGATAGTTCGAATTATAAATTATCACATGGATAGTCTCAATAAAAAATAACAACACAAGAGAGTTCGAACTAAAAGTTAACACAATGATAGTTTGAACGAAAAAAACTAACACATGGATAGCTAGAATAAAAAAAACACAATGAAAGTCCAAACAAAAAAATAACACTTAGATAGCCGAAACAAAAAAAAAACATAAAGTTACTCGGAACGAAAAATATAACACAAAGATAGTTCGAACGGAAAAAGTAACATGAAGATAATTTGACCGGAAAAAAAACAAGGCAATAATAGTCTGAACAAAAAAAATAGCACAATTATAGTCGTAACGAAAAAAGAACACAAAGATAATCTGAATGATATAACAACATATCAATAGTTCGAACGGAAGAATAACAACAAGGATAGTCGGAACCACAAAAATAGTTTGTATGAAAAAAAACATATGGATAGTCCGCACGAAAAACTAACATGAAATAATCCGACCAAAAAACAACAAAAAGATAATCATAACGAAAAAATAACATGAAGATATTTCGATCAAAAGAATAATAATAAATGAATAGTCCGAATGAAAGAGTAATATATATATATATATATATATATATATATATATATATATATATATATATATATATATATATATATATATATAAATATAAAAGGAGAAATATATCATCTTGTTTTTTCCTATCATTTTCTTATATACTTAAGATATTTATCAAATTTAATAAAATTAATAAATTTTTATTATACTTGTAACTATTTAAAATTGGTAGAACGAGGGATATGAAAAAAAATATAAGGATGTTTAATTCCTCATACATAATAATTCGAACAAAAAAAATAACATAGTGATAGTTTCGATGAAAAAAATAATACAAAAATAGTTCGAACGAACAAAAAATATATTTTTAATGTTAATATAATAATATATATCTATTAAAATTATTATGACTAAAGAAAATAAGAAAAAATAAAAATAATAAAAAAAGCTAAAAAGGGATAAAACATTAATAAGGAAAAATAAATTAGAAAAATCAAAATAAATGATGTATAAGGGGGTGTTTGGCTTAACTTTTTAAAGGTCAAAACATCTTTTTGAAAAAGTTACAAAAAATCAGATTTTCCTGATTTTTCCAAAAAGTTGATTTTCCTCTTTGCAAAATCCAAAAGTAGCGTTTAGAAGTCTTTTGCCAAACATCTTTTGCCTATGATCTTTTTCTAAAAGGATTTTTGATCATTCAAAAACTAAACCAAATACCTCTTAACTTAGTGCATATTTAAAGGGATATAAATTGAAATGTCATATGTTAGTGTAAAACGTTTACACTCCACCTTCATTTAAATAATAAAAAACAATAAAATTTCAGGTAAAAAAGTGATTAGAGCTCACAGTAAAAGATCAAATACATTAATTCATTCGGTTCATTTGTGCATATAGATATTTTTCATGTGCATAGAATCACACTTTTTTATTGCCACTAAACTCCACCAAAGATATGAAAAAAAAAATTATGGAACTAACACTTAAACGACCATATTATTTTTAGATCATAGGTAATTGGCCCTACTTTAAGCAAGATATCAAAGCTATTATTCCTTGGCAAACATTCAATAGTCGATCTTTCACATATGAGAGGGTTTTCCGACACCAAAAGACTTAAAAAGGGACGAGAGAGCTTGAAGAAAAAAATTTAGGTTAGTTCTCTTACATTTTTTAAGGGTTTCTAAGCCTATTATAGTTGCATAAACCCTACGATTTTACTTCTTCTCAAACGACAACTCTGTCCTACTTTACTTCTCAACCAAACCAGACTAAGCAAAGCATGCAAAGACATCCACTATCTATTCATGTTTTTCTTTTTATCCTCGAGCGGTGGTGGGGCCTATTGATTCCGGGGCACCTTATTTATGACAATAATTTGGTGGTGGGGCCTATTGATTTCGGGGCACCTTATTTATGACAATAATTTCAAAGTTTTAAATAACGTTAAGTGCAACTTGGTGACATCAATTTAAGGCATGAGTTAAAACAACAATTTTTGTATATAATTAGTAATTTGTTAGTTCAAAACAAGTGATCCCTTGGCAATCCGAAATTCTCTAATCCGATCTAACTATTGTTTTGTCCGATGAGATGTAGTTTGAAGGAATCCGAGATTAAGGAACGTCTGAAGTTGTTTTTCGTAACACCCATGTCCCGATGGTATATTTATTTGATTTAATTTTGATTAAGGTTGGCTTTAGATAACCTATGTTGGGCATAGATATCCTCTTACGCTTATTGTAGGTGATTGAACGCATTTAGGGACTTAGTGCTCTATGCGAGGTGTTCTTTTTGTTCCATATTCTTGGTCTTTTTGAGTAAGAACTACTCCAGGACTTGTGAGTAGCATTTCTAGATGTTTTGGAATGTATTATGTCATAAAAATGCAATCAAGGCCCATTCCTTCCATCCATGCATGAGATACGGAACATAAGAATGATTAAATAGTTAGGGATTTGGATTTGGGCTCTCTTTGCAAAGGAATAAAGTTGGAGACTTTATAATTTAGAATGTGTATTATGGTTAGATTTGAGCTTTGGGGGAAAGGTCCTAATGTATTAAGAGCTTAATTTGATGATTGACAAAAGATGTTGTACACACGAGTCGTAATATGGGCTACACCCAACATAGCCTTGTTTCACCCAATTTTCAGGTTAAGGCTATATGCCCTGCATAGAGCCAGGCGTACATCACATGTAGGTCAAAAGAAGGTTGATAATTGACTTTTTGAGCCATTTCATTTTTGGTCAATTGTTAGGGGTTGAGGACTTCGAAGAGCAAAATGGTCTTTTTCCCAAATGTTGATTAGTCTTGGTATTTGGACTTGCTAAGTTGGGATATTTACCTTAATTGTTAATTAGGATAATTTTTTGACATGATTAGTAGGACGAGTCTAGTACCAATAGTTCGGGTGCGAGGTTTATCGGTCTTTTATGAGAGGAGAGGGTGCGAGGTTTATCGGTCTTTTATGAGAGGAGAGTCTTGTCACTGGATTGCATATGTCATATTATGTGTGCAAGTTGGGCGTTACTGTATAATTGTTTCTATGTGCTATGTGGAGTTGGCGATAACTCCCAAGCATGTTGTTATCCCACAGAGATTGTTGATAATCTCTAGGGTTGCTGATAACCTATTGGGCGTGTTGTTAGCCTATTGAGGTTGCTGATAGTCTCCAGGGTTGCTGGTAACCCACCAGGCATCCTATTAGCCCAATGAGCTTAATGATAATCCCTAGGGTTGTTGAAAACCCATAGTTGTTTATTTTATGTTCTATTGTACGTGATATTTTGGGGAAATCACTAAGCCTCATGCTTATAATTTTTTATTAAATGTGTTTCAGGTAGTTTAGATGATCGTGGGAAAGCGAAGTCTTGATTGTACACATTCGCCTGCAGTTTTCTTGATGACTGTATATTTTGACACTTATGGTTTCTTGATGACTGTATGATCGTGGGAAAGTGAAGGTGTTTCAATATATTTTTATACTCTGATATTTTGGGATGATTGTATTTGAAACTTATGTTTTTTTGATGTGGGTTTTATGAACAGTATTATTAAAAATGAAAAAAAATATTGTTTGAAAAAAGGACGTTACAATCTGGTATCTGAGCCCTGGTTTGAGGGATTTAGATGAATACTCGTAGGGTTCCAGACTCAGAATAAGTATCAGAGAGTTTCAAAAATACATTTCAAAAGAAACAAAGTTCAAAAGAGAAGGACATGGTAGCAGTGTGTATAATTGGTCAGAGCTTGAGCTGTGATTTTGCAAAATATCTCTACTTGTTTTATATGTTGTGTTGAGCTGTTATTTTATGGGCTGATAGAACTGCATGCTACTTGATAGGCTAAGGATCCCTCAAGAAATACGCGGTAGGGTTTCTTGATTTGTGATGCCTTTTGCTTAGGAGGCTGATTTTATGAGATTTAACCTATTCTTGTTAATTGCTTCGTGTATGTTTCATAATTGTACATAGTTAGGATTTTATAGCCTTAGAATGCCTTCCTTAGCCTTACTTCTCCTTTTTTTTTTTTGGTTGTGGACTCGAGGTTTAATCATTTAGTTAACTGTTTATCAAGTTTTGAATTTTGTACAATTGGTGTATGCGAAGCAATTAGCGAGAATAGCAGAGATTTTTACGACGCAAAATTATGGTCGAGGGGTAGCCTAGGATGAGTACCTAGTTGTTTAGTTGTGGTTTGAGAGAACCTTTAAGTGTATTCTTGTAGATATACCATAGGAATAATGTTCTTGTAACTTATGGTCTTGGGAGGAAAACTTGAGTCAAATACAAATAGGTGTGGAAGGTATTATTGGGCTCATACAACTAAAAGTACAATATCCATAAACAATTTAGGAAGTAGTCTTTGGGCGCTAAGGTACTTCCAGAAGTGTATATAGTGTTTGTGTGCACTTTAGCCTAGTTCTGATCATTTTATTGTATGTTTCATCATGGAACTTACCCGAGGTTCAGGCTCGAATAACCCAGAGAGGTTGGGTACCAGTAATGATGGAATCCATAGGATCGTTACCATTGAGGTGGCCACGACAATCAGGGAGACTATTCCAGAGATGTTTGGGTCTATCAAGGTTGTTATGATTGATTTGTTTTACGAGCGTTAT